ATCCCATGCATTTGTCCTGAAATGCCAATGTGACTGACTCTTTGAAGCTGCTGCTGAGGTAGAGCAGCAAGGCATTCATTCAGTGCTCTTATTATTCTCTGGACATTCTGCTCCATTCCCTGTAATCATAAAGCATTATTCTGAGCATGAAACCATTAAGATTCACTCAGTGAATTTATTAAACAAGGCTACTCTAGTTAGAAGTGAAGAATAGAATTCATTTAGCTTAATAGCATCTATTAGAATAACATTCGCTACTAAATTGAAAAAAAAAAGCAAAAAAGTCCACAAAACCACAAACCCTAAAACCCAATACTAGCAAATTGAGAATGAGATAACAGCCTCTTAAACTGAAGGCCAAATAATTTGTAATTTCCTGAGTTACCATAGTCAAATATACCTTTTTTAAAAAATCCATTAACACTTATTACATGCTTCCATCGGTTCCCCTTATATATTGTTCTTCTTTTTTCTCACCAAGAGGATTATCTGCGTGTTCCATCTGGCATGCAGCCTCCCATCTTCCTAAAGCTCCTCCATATCTACTCACTATTGATTTTGATGATGGTGATACTTCATTCCGCCATACTAGGACTACCCAGTAAACTGATCTACTCAGCAAACTGACCAAACCATGCCACAAGAGAAACTGCATTCCAGCTTTCACACTTCTGAAGATTCAGATTACTTTATGACAGACCAGTAAGGAGATTATAAGCAAAAGTATTCAAATATAGTCTACATATAGATGTGAACTAATCTGCGCATACATACTTTTGGCTGCATAAACATGACTGTAAGAAAGAAGGGTTGGTGTATTTGGTATCTTTGCTCAGAAATTAGCCCCTGGACTCACTACAACAGTAGGCCAGAGGAATGTTGACACATATTTTTTTATTATTCTGATTCATCCTTTTTTTGACTGACCAACACAATGGATGTAAAGATCTTTAACAGGAGTTCCTGGTTATTTCCATGGGGAATCTCCAGCTGTGATTCCATCTCACATTAAAGTGCAAAATAGCCTTCCAGTGAGCAAGTAGTTGCTGTTTCCTGACTGGTAGCATCAAAGACAAGATGGTGGTTCGTGGGAGAATAGTTTTAGATTACCTTATGCAACTTTTCAAAACCTGGGTCCTTCTTAAATCAAACAGTTGTACTTGACTTTTTTGAACAGTAAACAGAGAGCATTTTAATTTTACTTTCAGACACCCAGATGCATGCAGCAACCACCTGCCAATCTAGGCACAAAAACAATCCAGGAAAGCCACTCAAGTCTGCACAATGCAGCAAAACAAACTGGCAGCTACAAGGCAAGGCCGGTACCCTGAAATTGCCAGCAGTGCTATCGGCCACCCCTTACCTGCGGTCCAGCTTCCAGGCTACTGGTGTGTGCCTGCGTCTCCCTGGAGCAGCTCTCTGCCACCACCTGCCCTCGCTCTGCCCCCACCAGCAGGGCTGCCTTAACCGACGTGGTGCCCAGGTCTATGCCCAGCACGCAGGCAGGAGCAGGCCCGCCTGCCGCCTCACTGTCCGCCATTGCCACGGCTAGAGGGGATTGCTTTCACCTTCCCCACCACGGGTCTTCTCTACGCGGTGGCCGGACCGACACCCACCCTGCTGAGCCCCCACACTGCTCTTTGCTGCCTCCGAGGGGGCACCTGCCCCAAGAGCAGAGGGTGCTGAGGGCACGATCCGTGCAGGCTCCCGCCCCAGCAGCGTGCAGAGACTGGGCAGACTGGGCTGGGAAAGCAGCCAGGACTTTGCCCTCTGGCTAAAGATGTCTCCCCTCAGCAGTGCCTGGGCACTACCCCTCCCTCTTGAGAGGGACAAACCACCCCTTCCCCAGCCCTCCCCGCTGACCCGCGCAGTTTTAAACGGAACTTCAAAAAACAACGCAAGCGGCGAGCCCGCCCCCCCTCCTCACAGAGCGGGCCGGAGCGGCCCGGCGCCTGGCACCCACCGCTTTCTCCTCAGCGTTGCTTCACCCGTATTAGCGCGTCCTAAAGCGTGGGGTGGCCCCGCTTCCCCGTGCCTCCTGGGGGGAAGACGGCGGGGACTACAACTCCCAGCGTGCACCGCGCTGCGCTGCTGGGGTGGGGAGGCTGCGGAGGCGCGGTGGCTGCTGAGATTTGTAGTCCTGCGCGGGTTGGGGGGGGGGAAAGACTCCCCTCAGGGCGGTAGTGGGATAAGTTCTGAGGGAAAGATATCCCCGAGGAAGTTTGGGCAGAGAGACTGAAAGACCGGTGCTCTCTCGGGGGTGCTGAGGGTCCCTCAGCCAGGCAGAGCCGGGGGCCATGGTGGCTGGGGAGGGAGTTGTTTGCAGGGAGCTGCCAGCTGAGGGGATGGGTTGGTGCCCTCTCAAAACACGTGGGTCCTGAGCAAAGCTTTCTCCCCACTTTTCCTGCAGTTCTTCCACCATGAGGATGCAATACCTGCTCCCCACTCTGCTGTACCTCTTGCTTGTGCTGCTGGGGCCTGGCGGTGAGTGTTTGGCCATCCCAGCTTGGGCCCACAAGGCCTCTGGGGCAGGGGCCAGGTCTGAACTGGTAAGAGGTGGAAGAAGGCTGCTCTGCAGTATCCCCATCATGCCTCTCTGAGGAGACCTGTGCCATGGTTCCCATCAGCTCCTCTTTCACATGCTACCTTTGACTTGGTGTCCTTGTATGCAGACAGTGCTGCACTGAGGCACTGATGTGATGGAGCACTCGCCTTGTGCTCCAAACTCGGCCTCTACAGAAGCAGATTAAATACGGTCTGTGGGGCAGTCATTGATAACTGGGGAGCTCGCCCGCACTTAAGTAACTTTTTAAGAACACTGTGTAACATAAGGCAACAAGAAAAAAGTGTCCAAGGCAACCTCTTTACCTCTCTATTTTTGGTCTTATTTTTATTTAGCTCTTTGTTCTTCTCCTTGTCTCTTGTGTCCTTTAAATGTACAGTCAATAAAATAGACTTGGATCCTAAATGTCAAAATTGTTGACATGTGACCACCTTAACAGTTTTGATATCAGTTGATTTGCCACTTGGAATCTCTGTCTCTTAAAGCATGATGTGGCAAAACATAGCTGGACTGTTGTAAAGTGTACCCCTTAACAATTCAGAGCACTATAGCAAGGTGCTTGTGATTCCTGAAGTGTTAAGATAGTAAATGTCCATGCTCTTGAACATCTGGGTACCTTGTTTGAATTTCTGACCCAAGAAGCAATTTTAAACTAAGTTTTGGGCATTTATGACTCTTAAATTATTAGGATCACATCAACGAGCAGTTAGTGTGGGTTTGAAGTATCCTATAGCCTTCTCTCGGCATAAACTTTTGTTGCACATCAAATATTTAAATTGCTTCCTTGTAACATGTTCAAGTGACAGTTACTTCTCCTTTTAAATTGTTCAGTCACCTTGAAATAAGCTGTACTCCCTTTACTGTTTATCACGTGTACTAATTTTATTAATCTGACACTGCAGGTACCAATGGACAAAATGTCTGTATCACGAAAGTAGGTAGTTCTGAAGGAATTATTCAATAGATAGTAATTGAGATTTCTGGGGTTTTCTTTGATTGCTTTGTTTTCCCCCCCCGCCCCAGATGGAGTCATTGTATTGTCTGTCCCTGAAGTGGTTTCGTTAGAAAGTGGAAGTTCAACAAATGTCACTGTCTCTCTGAGGTAAAATCATTATTATATCTTTACTTTCTCTTTGGAAAGGGGGACGAGCATGGGGGTAGGACTTGGCTATATACTTAAGACTTTCCTGCAAACTCAGTTAATTGTTCATACAGAGTCAATCTCATTGGTGTGGCTCGCCACTTCTAGATTACTACAATTGCTTAGTACCAATTTGGACCAAGATCGTGCAACATTCTCACAAACAGCCTTGTATGGTTGGCTTCTGACAATATCCCATGCCATTTGTCTGCAAAGTTGAGCAGAAAAAGATGTTTTATGCTGTCTGCCCTATATTAGCTTACTGAACTGTCTTCCATAAGTGAACTTACAGTTCTTCCATTTCTAAAAATTGATACTTAAGAGAAACTTGCATTTCCTAGAAGGATCACCAAAAAAACTTTACCAAGTAAACAGAACTTGCCATTTCTAGCAAAGAAATGCAGCTTCTCCAGAGTGGGGACTGATGCACCTTAGTCTCATTGTTTAATACAGTGCATTGCTTACCCATGTTTGTGCTATGTCAGCCTCTTCCCAGGAAAGGATTGTTAAACACATGAACCCCTCCCCTTTGGGATCTCAAAGTTTGAGTAAAGGGAACAGTCAGAAGAAAATGTAAGAATTGTGATTAAAAAAAGAAAATAGCTAAACATGGGTGCACCAGTCCAGAACTTCTATTTTTGCAAAGAAAGATGTGGTACTGTAATCTTGTTCATGGACAAGTACAGGCATTTGAACCTTATGATATTTTAAGTAATGCTGTGCAATTAAACCTCCTGGACAAATGCTCAGTGGAGTTCTCTGGGAAAGCTGTGCAGGACTGTGTCACTTGGAGGGTTTTTATTCAAAGGGGTTTTTTTGGTTTTGTCTTACTGCACTTACTGCTATAGTTACTGCCCTTCATCACCCAAAGTAGATGTCCATCATTTCTGACCCTCTTTACCAACAAAGGGTTACCAAGCACAATGATAGGGTTCTGGTGGCAATGACTTTGCTCTGCCACTTGTGTGGAGAAGAGGGAGATAAAATGTGGCCATATAGCTGTCTAGTGCACATCACTAGTTCAGATAAAATAAATAGTACAATGCTAACATACATTGGTGCTAGTGTTCCTCTGAATATGAGGAAGGTGCTGTTGTGTATGGACTGTTCGTTATGTTCACAACAGCCATGAGGATTCAGCAGATACTCGGCTGCAGCACTGAAGCAATCTTTGCGAACTCAGGCACCAGTCTAACTTGTCTTTTCTGCCTTCACAGGGCTCCATTAAATGAGACACTGGTGATAACTCTTAATATTACACACTCATCAAAACACAGCACCATTGTTGAACTGCCTGATGAAGTAAGTGACAGAACAGACTTCTGTCCTTGTGCAAAATACTACTGCTATTATAGTGCAACTCTCCTCTCTCTTCCCCCCCACTTTGCCTTGCAGGTACAACTGCCTGCAGGTCACACTAAAGCAGACTTCCAAGTGAAAGCAGATGATGTTGGACAAGTAACAGTTTATCTTTATACCACTAATTCCAACTTAACTGGGTGAGAAACTGGTTTTTAGTTCCACTTACTATCCTACAGCTTCCTAAACTTTGGGGTAACTATGCCCTCCTTATAGTTAAATAGTTAATGGGACATGGGTGGTATATAGTTGAGCAGATGTGGTCACCCTCCAGCAATACCCAAGGTATTCAGATAAATACAGGGTATGGAAGCAGAGTGATGGTCTTAGCATCTTAGATTTCATTACTAGATGACTCTGAGCTGTCATAGCTCCTTTGTCTGGTTTTAATAACCTCTCCCAAAAGTATCAAAACTACATGTCAGCTTTTCTGATACAAGAGTATTTGATTGTAAGTGTCCAGTGGGATACTATTCTTACTGTGCAGAACTCGTTCTGGAGTGCTAATGGGCCTGATGCCCACATCACTACCATGAGACACAGCTGTTTTGATTTCTAGTTAGGGGATCCCTCTTTTCACAGATGCCAGTCCTCCCTAATAGGAAAACAGTCTAGCAGTTGGAGAAAGCTGGATTGTATTTGCTTGTTGCCCAGATACTACTGAGCAACAGGATACTCCTGTTTTACTTCCTCATTTCGCTTCTGCTTTTAAGACTCAAAGCGAATGCAGAGGTAAGCATATGAAATGCTCAACAGGACAGGCATGATCATGAGGCTTTGCTGGCAGAGTGTGAAAAGTGAAATTTTGCTCTTGCATAACAGACCTCGTGCTAAAAGAGTGGAAGCCATAGGCATAACGTGACCTTTTTGAAGGTTTCTATGGTAAAAGAATGAAAAAAGTGAGGCAAGAAGGAAAGGATAGGTTGAGGGTAGGAGTGGGAGATGCCTTAAACATAACAAGGATGCTAAAGAAAAGGGGAGCATCTGTACTGAACTCTGAATCTGTATTGTCTTGTCTCAACACCTGGGCTCTGTTTTCTCTCTCAAAGCAGAACAAGGCAAAATCTGCTGAAAAAAATGTGAACAAACAAATTAACTAATTTCGTTTGCATTAACCATCAGACCTAGGATTCAATTTCAAGTGATTCATAGCATCATAGTGAGATACGCTGATGAGGTGATTGGCTGGATCTATTTCCTCGCCTGGTCTATCTCCTTTTATCCTCAACTCTTTGAGAACTGGCGGCGAAAAAGGTAAAGAGACTTAAGATGTGTTTGCAAGTCACTTAAGCACCTTCTGCAAATCATGTTTCTAGCTTCAGTTACATCCATCTTTGTTATTGTGAATTATGCATGGAAAGACTGGGGAAAAAAGGAAGGCAAAGATACAGCCTGAATAAATGCAGCCCCAGTGAGCTTTTCTGCATGCAGGTCAGAGGAAGCTACAGGCACCTAATCCTAAGGTTTGGCATCCAATACTAATTTGTGATAGAAGAGACTTCCCCGTTCCCTTTGGCATCATGTTGTAAATCATCCAGCAAAGCCAACTGTGGTAACCACCTTCAAAGATTACTTACCTCGTGAGCTGTTACAGATGGCTCTTTGTAGTGTAATCACTAGGCCAGCTCCCCTTAAACTAAGTGACTGTAAGTAGAAACACTATTATATATGAAAACGAAAGCATTTGTTTTGGCAAAGATGCTCTACTGCTTCTGTGGATTCAGGCTGGAATGTTTTTATCAGACTAGCTGAGCTCATGGAGGAGTGAAGTAGCAGCAGGGACACAACCTGTCAGTGAGAGCTGTTGTGAGTACCAGTGCATGGCATATGAGGGATATTTCACCTCGATTCCTGATGAGCTCACAGCATCATGTTGTCGCAATGACTGTGGCTTTGGC